CAGCTTCCCAGTTTACAGATAGCTTCTTTTCAGCTGGTGGTGGGGGGAGCAGGGGAGGGGAAGGAGAGACTTCCCAGGAAAAAAAAACCCAGACAAATTTAATAAAAAGCGACTTACCAGCATCCATTGTTAGAATCATGACCCCACTTGTGTGTCCCAGGAAGCAGGAAGCCTTACCCATCCAGTGTATGAGAATGACTCAGAAGGACAGCATGGCTTTGTTTCAGCTTATATCTTCTGGCTCATTCACCCCTCCTCCCTTTAGTGGGATAAAAGTGTTGCCTGTGCCTGGCCATCCCCATTGGCTCAGCTAGGGGAACCTACCCATTTAGCACATTCAAGTTTCTGTGAGAGCCTAAAATGACTCACAGAGGAGTTTTTATTTATCTTAAAAAAAAACCACCAAACACCAACAACGTTAAAAAAAACAAAACCAAACCCAACACAAACACTTTCTTTCTGGGAGAATAAATCCTTTATTCTTTCACTATCAGACACAAGTTACAGTGATGTTATTGCCATGGGGAGGAACAATTCCCTGCACTCTGAATTGAGGAGAAGGTGGCAACTTAGGGAGGACAGTCCCACAGTCTTCAGTAATCCCCAGTTCTGTTGCATTGTCTGTCCATGGGAATAAAGCCACACATTTTATGTCAAAGCTTGTGCCCCCTAACCCAGTTTATCTTCAATGCAAACTGTATATAATCCCAAAATTGAATACCTCCTGGTTTGCCAGGGAGGATTTGCTCTTCCATTTTATTTTTAAGTAGGTAGAACAGTTAAAGATTATTATCTTACTGAAGACACACACCCAGACTTTACAGGTTTAACTCTGCAGTGAGGAAAATTAGGTGATATTTTCTTAATCTCCAGGATTCTCTAGGTGTAAAAATAGGTACAATCTAGGCTCTGCCTGAAGAATTTGGAAAGCTGTTACAATCTGTTTGTGAGCATCCTCTCTAGTGAGATAATAGTGTTTAAATAAGAAAAATCTATCTGATCAAGAGATATCATAGCCCATTGTTAACTCTGATCAAACCACAGCACAGCTTAAAAAGTGCATTTGGGTGAGCAGCTGGAGGGGGAAAGGAATTTGTTTCTTTCTATTCTGCAAAATCCTTAAGAACTTGCAGTCAGACCCCGAGAGGGAAGTGCTGTGTCTTGGCACCATAAACTGTCAGCAGATTTGATATTTGTCCTCAGGGGTTCAGCAAGCACAGAGAGGGGAACACGGGTGCTCCTTGCCTCTGGTAAGAGCCACCTTTTCTAAATAAAGCATGGACACATTGGGCTCCTGTCTCACCACATTACTCACCACCAGATAACCTAAGATTCATAACTCTGCGATACAACCACAAGTGTATTTTGGAAGTGTTGCTTGTGGTTGTTGAAATAAACAGAGTACTCTGTCTCTCCTGCCTCCTTCTGTTTTTAGAAAAGGTATCAGTTGCAAGTCACAAACACCGAGGTTTGTAGACGCTACTGATGAAGTCAGAATCCACAATTCAAAGAAATCAGCAAAAGCAGCACAATTGAATCATCCCTTCTCAGATTTCCTGACCCTCTCTCGCTTTGCAGTGTGGCTTTACAGCAACACACCTGAGTCATTACACTTTCAGGGGGAAACTCATTCCTAAAGCTGACAATTTCTGCAATAAAAGCTTTGGGAAGATGTATGAGTAATCCAAATCCCAGAAACAAATAAGAAATCTTTCAGTGAATGGAAATCAGGGACAAATGACCCAGATGGACAGGCTGCTCCTCAAAAGCTGTACTACAGAAAGAAGTGCAGTGGCAGAACTCAACTGAATGGCTTCATCCAAAGTTTACAATTCTCAAATAGTCAGGACACTGTTTTGTCCATAAAAAATAGCTAAGGACATTTGGTAACAGCCATGCAGAGGCCATGTGCAGAGATACATGTTAACTTTTGGGACTGATATCAGGCATAGCTTCTTTTTTACCAATAATTAGTCTGAAGAAAAATGCAGCAGTAAGGCACGTTTGCACTCTTCCTATTCCACTCTTTTTCACCTGACATCTTCATTAAAAATTTCCAATGATCTAAATAAAATTCATGACAACAAAAATCAGTTTTGAGGATGCTTTCAAGAAATGCAATCCCAAAGACTGGGAGGAACTTATGGAGAAAACAGTGTAACACTTATCCTTACCAACAAGGTAGAAGGGGAAGAGCTTTAAGGACAATTAAAGATAACTGCCAGAGAATACCAGGCACTACAGATCTTATGCCAAACAAATACATTTTAAGAGAAGCATTATCATATGCTGTGTAAGAACAAACCACTTTTGACAGGATGACATTTCCTGTAAGCTCAGCTTTTGCAAGAAGTCCAGCACCATTGTCCTGGAACAGTAAAATGCAGAAGTTCAAGTAAACTGTTCCCAAAACAGCCAAAAAAAAAAATCCCCAACTGCTGGGTCAGCAATGGATTGTGAGGTACTGCATGCACTATTTTTAAAAATGGTGCAAGCATTAATAATTCAGCTTACAAAGCATTTGGAAAATGAAAACCATGAAAACTGAAACCATAATAGAGAGGAACAATCTTACTGATATCCTAGAAAAAAGGGAAATACATCTATTTGCCTTTATTTTCAGAAGGGAGAGGATGAAGTTTCCAGTCAGGCCAGCAAGAACATTAGGGGAATGCTGAAGGGGACTGCTGCACGACACAGGATTTACAAGAGCTGGGCATCTCCAATGTTCCAATTCTATTCTAGAAGGCAGAAATAAACCCACTCACTGTTTTTCAAACTATCTTAGCCAGCAAAGGTTGGCTGTAATTTATGTAATTAAAAATACACCAGTATTAGAAGGAGCACTGTATGTTTTTTCACATATAAGCAAGGCTGCTAAAGTGTCCAGCAAGACTTGCACATGAAGCCTTGGCTTTGTTGACATTGTGGAAGCTATGAAATACAGACAGCACATGATAAATGGTAGCAAAGTTAGCATACTATAAATTAAAACAACAAATACCTGTCCATAAACTGTTTCTATGGTAATGTAATGAAAAGAGGGTATAAGTGATTCATCTGATTGTGCACACTTCCCTAAAGCCTCTAAAGTCAACTGGCCAGTCCTATATGCAGCTCCAGCAATGAAGCAGAAAGTTGGTCATGACCTCCAGAAATCACCAATTTTTTCCCATAATTTTTCAGTCAGATAATCTGAAGTCCATGTAATTGCTTAATGAAAATATATTATAAGGCAGTAACAGGTGCAGTAAATACTGCACAGAATTCCAAGATGCTGTGGAAAAAACATGAACACATTCATCTGAAGACTATATCCAAACAGCCCATGGCTTAGTTATCTGACATGGTCCAGCTATGTCACATCAAGGGTGTCAATTGCATACTGTTAACAAACTCTAGTTCTGTAAATTCTCTACTAAAATAAACCTTTTTTTTGTGGCTGTTTTTTTAAAAATGCAGCAGAATAGTCATTCACACATCTAATAGCATCATCTTCTGAAGCTTACAACCATTTTATGATGGCATTTACTTATAAACAAGTTCAGCAAGAAATTCTCTGAAGGCTTGACTTGAATCTTTGTTGAAAGAAGTCCATATCACCCTTAAAAACTAAATTCCCATGACTGTTCACATAATTTGAAGTACCTGCATTAGTCTTGCAAGAGCACCCTACTTCTGCTCACTTTCATTAAATTATTCTCTGCATAGAAAGCATGCAGCTAATAACTGTGATCAGCTTGCTCTAACATTTTTGGAGGAAGCTTTATTAATATGCTTTAATCCTGAATTGTCAAGATTCAGTTCATGTTTTCCATGATCATGCTCCAAGCTCAAATCTTCAGCAATCAAGGTTAGGTTTTGCTTTTCTGCTGCAAGGCCTTACAACTTTTCAGGCTTTCTAGCACATGCAAGAGTAATCACTGTTCCCAGTCCCTCACTTGCCTTCTTTTTAAGTAAGATGTTAAAACCAGCAGAAGATGATTTCATTCAAGCTTCCACTCTTTCCACAGTGTTTTCCCAGACTTCAGAAGCTATGACAAGTTGCAAGGAAAACAGCTCTTGTGTAATTCTGGAGCAACAGCTGAAATGGTGAAAACGTAGGCTACATATGGGAAAAGAACTAACAGCATGACAGCTCTTGCCTGGCAGTATAACCTGAATTAGACATCAATTCTCTTTATGGAATGTTAAAAGATAGATCATCTACATACTAATTTTGCTGATTCAAAACCACTGAGACATTCCTGATCACATCCAAGAAATCACATCAGTAACCAAAATTACACAATTCTCCAAAAGCAAGATTAATCCCACACTTTGCAGAAATTTTGCAAGCTCTGCCATAGTGGGACCAACAGAACTTGCTATGCACTTCCACACACAAAAAGGTCCCATTTGTTCTGGGTTTGTGTTCACATAGGGAAATGCTTTTCCATAGCTAAGAGCTGGAAAAAATCCTGAACCAAATATAAACTGCAAATATTTAATCAAAAGTCTGCAACATGAGGAGTGGGAAACATGAAAGTACAGATGTGTAATTAATTAAAATATTACATTTGAAGGATTGTACATGATCTAGAAAGGTTGAAGCTACTCTGCTATACAATATTTGGAAGAAGGAATAATAGAAAGGCTGGAACAGGAGGTCCATCTTAGCTGCCTGCTGCCTCCCAGTGAATTCTCAGAAGTTTCAGAAACTCTTATTGCTACTTCCTCATTCAATAACATTTCTTCCCACAGCAGCATGAGCATCTCCTAGGTTTTTAAATACCAATCAGCTTTTCTGAAGGTCCTATGGGCTACTCTGGAATCTTAACTATAATATCACTGCATTTCATACATATGCACTTGAAGGCACACACAGATTCTTCCTGAAATGTTTGATACTAAAACCTCCAAAAAAAAAAAAAGGAAAAAAGAAAAACCAACCAAACAACAACCCATAGTTCTTGGAGTTCTTGGTTCAAATCAGTAAGTATTTTTCAGCAAAGGTTTACCTTAAATCCCAGCCATCCAGGCCTGACCCTGTAGGTACAAGTGCATCACCTTGTCCAGGTGTCTCACAGTCCAAGGCAGTCCTCCTACAAGAAACAAACACAACAAAGCATGGGTAAGAACCACAGAGCACCCCAGGCTATGGCAAACCTTTCAGAAGCAGCAGGCAGATGCACAAAGGGGATGAACTGATTGACTGCAAGGGCTGAGGCAGCTTGGAGCTGCTACCTTGTCCATTCACACAGACAAGAACTGAACTTCCCCTTAGCCTTTATTATTATATATTAGGCCTTTATTATTATATGTTCACAGGTAGCCTTTATTATTATATATTCAGTCTTTCTATAAGGTCCAGCAGCACTGGAGATAATAACAAAACCAGAAGCATCCACCAAAATACTATTACCCTCAAATCCTATACTTTAAACATCACTGGATGCAACTGAAATAGGCAATGCTCTTTGTAGAACAACAGCAATCAGGAGACAGACCCAAGACTTCTCCTAGTGCAGAGCACTTGACCTATCAAGCAGTTCTGCAAACAACACTGCCACAAGGCCTGATTTCTGATCCCCACACCTTGAACCACAACTGGTTTTATTTTATTCTTTGGCAAATACAAAACACCTCTGGCTGTGCCTGTAATATGATTTGCTGGGTGATTCAGCCCATGTGGATACTCATGTTAATTAAGGGTTCAAGTTAGATTGTTTCAAACTAGCTGAATTATCCCAGCACCACACTGTCCTTAAAGATGCCAATCCCCTGAACATATAAGAACTTAAAATATCCACCTGCTCTGGGCTTCTTACTCTATTCTGTACCATATGCAGTTGCTTCTTTCCACAGAGAGTGAAGAGTTCTCCAGTGCAGACCTGAACCACCTGAAGCAGTCTGTGCTGTTGCACTAATTATTGTCTGCCTCCTCATTACTTAAAATGTTATTTTAAGTAAAATAATATTTTCACTCTTGCTCAGCTCAGGCTCAGCTCACCTGCATATGTTTAGGTGCCAAATATACTGTTTTCACTTTCACAAGTGCTATTCAACTTTTTTTTTTTTTTTAATCTATTAGGAGGTACAAAATGAAGTCATGCTATCCTATGTGACTGGAGCAACAGCTTTCAAGAGCAGTCAGGTCACTGCTCTGCTTCCTGCAGCTGCTGAACATGTCAGACTCTAATAACAGCATCTAGAGAAGAGGTCAAAACAAAAATAATTCATTGAAAAGACAGATAAGACAGAAATTTTGCCTGAGTTGGGAAAAAATTCTGATTTTGGAAGACAAGCAGACCCCCCCAAACACAGACTACCTTAGAATGCATAGGGACAGGTAAGGCAGCAAATCAGTCTTGTCCCTAATGTTATGTAACTGCTCATAACAAGTGAACTAAGATAGTTTTTAAGATCTATCCACATTTATCTCTGTATTTCAGGGAGGAAACTCACTTAAAATTCCAAGAATATGGTAAACCACATGCTATTGTTTTTGCATTTCCAGCCTCCAATTCCTTCAAATGAGCACTCCTGCACTTTAGAAGGGTAAATGAGGGGGCACTTCAGTGTGGTAGGAAAGGTGAAGAAAATGATGGTAAACAATGGATAGCTGGAAGAAAGATAAACTAAAGTTTTTCCACCATCACATAATTCTTGGTTCCAAATTCCTTCTTGCTTCTTAACCATAGGGTTGCCTGATTATTTCTGCTCTTCCTTCTGCTGCTTCCTCTTTAAGTATCAGTATTAAAAAAAAAAAAAAGAAAAAAAGAAAAAAAAGAAACAGAAAATAAAGGATTTGAAATCCAGCTATCATTTTGGTCAAATATTTCAGAGACTTCATGGAAGCAACTGTGAGGTGGGAAGAGGGAACATTTATAATGCACAGCACACATTAAACCTGGTGCACACTGCCACTGCCCCACTACTATGTTTTATTAATTCCTCCCTTTTTTTTTGGAAAATTCCTCCCTTTTTTGGCAAATGCTACATTTGTATATTGGAACAAGAGAGAAGACCAGGGTGCTGCAGTTTTGAAGGCCTGCAGCTTTGAAGTCCTTTTAAAGGAACCTTGAATAACTGGTGGGAGTGGAAATACCTTGACAGAGTGGTTTGGGGTTTTTTATATATTCACATATTTGCCTATGTCACTATGTGCTACAGATCTTTGATAGTGTCAGGAGTCTTATGAGAAGTTTTGGCAGGACCACAATACAAACAGAAGACCTAACAAATACAGAGCACCTATCAGGAAACATTTGAGATTGAAATCAAAATGTGAGGACTGGCAATTGAATTCTAATCTTTTCAAGACTGACCTTGGCTGCAACTTTTTGTGCTCTCTCTGCAGTTCATCTGAGAGATTCCTGGCAAGCCACTTGAGCTGTACATCTGATAACCCCTGCAGTTTGAGAGTTTAGAACAAAAGCAGGAAAAGACACTCCAAATACTAATTCTTGCCATTTTCACGGACTCTTTATTACACAACAGACAGATTCCAGAGTTAGTCAGTACATCATGAAGGAAAGAGACATGAAAATATCATCTGGATACTTCCTATTATCAACTAGAAAGAGGGGCTAGTGGGTAATCATCTCTGTTTAGCCACAGAGATCCATCCTTTTTTGATCCAAGAGAATAATCAAACTTACATTTCTTCTAGACAAATTTTCTTCTGGGTACAGAGAGCATCAACACTTGGACTGATTTAACACCTGACAGCTGAACCAAGAATGTCACCATGTGCAACAGACAGATAGCTGCTCTGCAAGAATCTGCAGTGATCCATCAGGTTCTTCACTGGGTTGGCTACAGGACACCTACACCAGCTTCTTTTCTTCAAGATCAGCCTCCTAGCTCCTGAGCTCCTACATGCAGAACAGACTCTGCATGAGTCTGTGAGTTTCAGTTCCACTGAAACAAATTAAGGCATTGCATGCCTCCAAGCAGAAAAGGATAGGAAAAGGAAAGCAATTTTTAGGATGCTTTACTTCTTGCTTGGTGACATATATCATATCAGTTTTTCAAAGTCACCAGCTTTTCAGGCTCTTGCCCAACCAAATGAAGCCTAACACCACAGAGATGTTTTGATAAAGCCACATTTTGCAAAACCTTGGTACATTTTCATTTCTCACAGGAAGGAAAAATGCAGCCTGGAAAAGCTTAGGAAAGAGGTAGAAGAGTGCAATATCTTTCCTTTGAAGCCAAGAATCCTCACAGAGAGTTCAATTAAAGCAGAGTCCAGCAGCTCCCTCAGGTGTTATCCTTCTTCACGCTCCAGAGGCATGTAACACTACATACTGGGCAGCAGCCAGGTGCAAAGCAGATTTTCAGACTGCTGGTTTTCCTTTTCTTATGTCTCCTTCCACTCCCACCTCACCAAAAAGAAAGGCCACAAAGATGTTCATCAGTCCAAGTCTCTTGAACACTCAGAATATCACTTAAAACCAGCAAAATTCAGCTCTGTGCCTGCACTTACACTCTACACTGGTGCAAGCCTGTAAACTCTTAACATCCCATGTTATTTTATTTTTCTAAGGCATTTTGGAAGAACTCTACACAAGAGCAACAGGACACAGACACTTCTGTCTGTAGTCAGTTCTCACAGAAAACATCCAAGAGCTCAAATCCACCCTAGTGGGGTATTTCCACCACCTTTCTTCAATTGTCATTTGTGATGCAGCCTGCCCCAGGCAGCAGGGCTCTCCTTCAGTGCATTTCCCTCCCATTTCACATCACACAGCACTGCTGCAGTTCTGCTCTGCTGCCCCTGCCCAATGCTGTCTGCAGGAACAAACTGCTTTTGCACATTCCAGATGTTTAAAGAAATTACTTATCCGGAGAACTGAAGAAGAGCTGCTGAGGAAAGAATCTCTGCAAGCACCACGACAGAATCACACTTGACTGTGCTTCCCTCAACCCCCAAAAGTGAAGCCACCCACCTGGAAGTGACCAGCTCAGTGTTCAGGAGGCTGACACCTACTCTAACAATAATAGATGCATGTGCAATTCTCCTGCCGTGCCCTTCAGAGGTACAGTGCACAAAGTAAGGATGATTCCTGTAAGTACCCTGGCATACAGAATTATGCACCAAAAAGTCATGGCATTGCAGTGAAAGATGAATGTTTGAGGTGCACACTGGAGCCACTGACTGTGCACATTCCTGCTGACACCACATCAAAGTACTCCTACTGCTATTTGCCTTATATTTGCTAGGCAAGGAAAGTTAAAAGTAGGAAGCTCAAAAAAGTCCTTTAGCCAAGAAAGTCACAAGACACTTCAATGTGAAGTTTTTTCCATAGTAACAGGCTACAGTTTCTCTTAGAATCTGGTTTCAAAGTTGATGAAATAGGATTCTGCAAGAAACTCTATACCACAGCACAGAAGCTCCCATCATACACTGACCTCTAGTGTAATAAAGACTCAAAACATCAGAAGTCTCTTTGAAGACTTAGAAAAATTATCATTTTTTTTCCCAGCACTCAGAAGAATATTTTCATGCAATAAAACAGACTGAAGTCAGAAGGGCCTCCCTGGAATACTCTCAATTGTTTAAGAAAACTGGAGCATGGGTTAAAGAAGCTACAGAACTTAAATTGTTCAACGGATGTAAAGATCCTGCTGTGTTTACATAAAGTAATTTACATCAAAGCTGCATTTAACTTCTTTGAACCCAGCTGAATTTAACACCTACGCATTCTGAATGTGCAGAATTGTTTCCTAACTACATTTTTACAAAGCTAAATTAAAAAACATTTAAAGTTGAAACACTCAGCTTGGGCAAGTCCTCTATCAGCCAGATCACAATTAGACCACCCCAGATTCTGCACAACTCTCCAAGTGCCTCTGGACAGGGTGGCTGACTCAGATGTGCTTCCTGTAGCCAGCACTGAATTCATGGAGGCTGCTGGAAATGCAACATAGGAATCTGCATGAGTCCTCACTCCCTGAAGACACAGGGCTCACAGAGCTATGTGGACATGGCCCTAAGCCCAGGCAGTCTGGGGTGAGAGAGGAGATGCTTGGTTTGGGTTAGCAGTTTTTAAGAAGGTAAAAACACAACCTACCAACACAAACAAAAAAATTAAGTTAG